CCTTCAACCTAATAGCGATGGCCTCCAATCTAATAGCGATGGCCTCCAACCTAATAGCGATGGCCTCCAACCTAATGGCCATGGCCTTCAACCTTATAGCGATGGCCTCCAATCTAATAGCGATGGCCTCCAACCTATTAGCAATGGCCTCAAACCTAATAGCGATGGCCTTCAACCTAATAGCAATGGTCGCCAACCTAATAGACATCCCCTCCAACCTAATAGCGATGGCCTCAAACCTAATAGCCATGGCCTTGAACCTAATTGCGATGGCCGCCAACCAAATAGCATTCGCCTCCAGCCTAATAGCGATGGCCTCCAACCTAATAGCGATGGCCTTCAACCTAATAGCGATGGCCTCCAACCCAATGGCGACGGCCTCCGACCTAATAGCAATGGCCTCCAACCTGATAGGCATGGCATTCAACTTAATAGCGATGGCCTTCAACCTAATAGCGATGGGCTCCAATCTAAATGTATAATAGCGATGGCCTTCAACCTAATAGCGATGGCCTCCAACCCAATGGCGACGGCCTCCGACCTAATAGCGATGGCCTCCAACTTATATAATAGCCATGGCCTTTAACCTAATAGCGATGGCCTCCAATCTAATAGCGATTTCCTCCAGCCTAGTAGCGATGGCCTCCAACCTAATAGCAATGGCCGGCAACCTAACAGCGACGGCCTCCAACCTAATAGCAATGGCCTCCAACCTAATAGCAATTGCCTCCAACCCAATAGCGATGGCCTCCAACCTAATAACAAGAACCGAACCCTATTCAATTATGACAAGTCTATTCAAGATTCCCGCTTTAACACAGCTGTGAAGTTCTGGGCTGGGTTCTGATTGCACTGGCCCGCGACACTGTATTGTGATGTCATTTGAATTTGGCTCTGGTGCAAAAGTGGCTCCAGGCACAATCTCATTTGGGGCATCTAGAACACCCCCTAGTTGCGTCCCACACGCCTGCTCGGAGCTGCTGGCCTGGGTGTTTTCTTCCGAGTCACCAGGTGCGCCGGCGGCGTGGTACATGTGCAAGTCTCAACCTCGACATGCCTCTACACCCCCCACTGCATACCTGCAACCCCACCATGGTCACATCATTTAGCGTGTGCCAAGTCTGCTCTACCTGTCATGGCTGTCCAGCCTGTGGCACTGGCACTGCGCCCCTGGCACGTGGCGACCCACCCTCCTGTTCCCAATTCCAGCTTGGAACGTGTCAGGATTCTGGAGAATGAGCTCAAAGATTCAAAATATCAAAAAACACTCTTAGCCTGAGGCAGCTTCATCAGCCTCCTCCTTAAACTCTAGGCTCTAGGCGGAGCTTAGCTTAGCTCAGCAGACCAACTCTCTGTGCCTCGCGCTGGGAGAGGCCGCACAGCCTCCACAGCCCGAGGCCATGACGGGCACCGGCACCTAAGGACAAAGTGGGAGGCCGTGAACAAGCCTCTCCGCCACGGGAAATTGGTGGTTTGTCTGGGTGGATTTGGGATTCTAACGAATGTAGCCCCGCAAGAACCGGGACGATCCAAACCACCCATTAACCCTCGGCCCGTGGATCCCCAACTGCAGCTGAAATGAAGCGACACTTCCCTTGCTCTACTCTCTACGCATTTGGGACTGGTTGGTGGTTGAATGAACCGCTGGAAAATAGGAAGTGGAATGCTCAAACCATTTCATCCCAGGTAATTAACAATGATCCAAACAATCCAAATCACCGAGAAGGAGAGGACTGCTCAACGAATGCCTCAAAGGCTCCAACCATCCAACATCCACAGCCTGGCACAGTCCTCCTTTTCGATGTCTTCGTGCACAGTCCGGTGAGACACCTCGAAACACACCACCCTCAGCGCTGCCATGGCCGTTTTGGCCAACTAGGCCTTGTCCATCTGCTCTTTCAGCTCCTTAGAGCGGTGCGAATTGGTGGCAATGTGCCGAAATAATGCACCTCCAAGGCATCACACATTGTAGGTCAGGTTAAAGGCTAGTTACTTCCATTTGAATTGGGCGACCTGTAATTAATTCTCACAATCCTGCTTTAGTGTGATCAGAAACGTGCCCAAAAATGTGTCCGATGATCAGGTTTGGCATCTTACATCAAAATGATGCAAAAAAAAGATGCATAATGAGGCATTCTGAGGCTCTCTTTTGAGGTTCTTGATCCGAAACTCTACGTCTTGCATTTCCTGCTTGGCCTCCTCTGGCAGCGCGCCACTCAGTGGCTCAGCTAGGCCATACTGCACCACCAGGGTGTTGATCAAGAATGCCACAATGTCCTCAGAAATAGAAGCAGTCCAGGTAAAACATGCTAAACCAGTTGAACACGCCCGTCCTCCGGGGGCGGTGTAGTGGACCAATAGCTGCCAGCAAGATCCTCCAGCACAGGCCGTACCTGAAGCCGGACCGTCCGGTATCAATAAGAAGCTAAACAAGAATCAAATTCCCAAGCAACTGACCCAGTTCTTGGCAACATCCGACTTCGGCCTGTTGCGCCTTACATTACCTTCCAACACTAGTCTCCACACCCTGGTGCCTCATTCCGCATGAACTCCTCGCGGTCCTGCGTGGTGGCCAGCCTCGTAGGCTTCTCCATGGTCGCTCGATGGCGCTCCCAGCAGCCGTGGTTCGGTGCTTCGCATCGGCTGACACAGCAGCGGAGGAGGTAGCGAATGGAGCAAGGAGGTTAGGTAAAAGTGGCTGGTTGACTTCAATTTACAGGATTTTACAGGTACAAATGACACATGCATAAACATGCCGTCTCTTGAGCTGTAACTGTAGTGTTTGTGTCGCTGCCCCATGTTGGAAGGATGGTGTGAAGAAGGGATGGCCCACAGGTCCACTGCAAACACAACAAATGTGCTGACTTTCCTCAGCGCACTACACTAGGCCTCCAAGAACCATAAAGACATCTAAAGAGTGATCTAAAGACATCAGTTCTGCGACCTCCCTTGCCAATCCTGCCCATCAGCTAGTCCCCCCTGTGGATCGGGATTCACCGACATCGACACCAACAGAGTCTGAGCTTGGAGCCCAAATAGGCACAGAGCTTTGAGAAGATCCTTGGGCCTCGGCCAAACGTTGGAGAAGTTCAACCAGCGAACATCTTGGAATCTCGGAGTGGAACACTGTGAACATTTGTGAACAAAGGTTAAAAGACTGCACGCATGGCTGCATGATGCTGCATGTCATAATGCTTGCCTGCACCGCCCGAGGTCTTTGCGTACGGCCCTGCGAAGTACAGCCGCTTCTTCAACTCGGCGTTTTCCACACGCAGGCGGCGGTTTTCCTGACGAGGTGCGACGAGGCTGTACAGGTGAGGAACCAATCCCAAATTTATCCCCTTTGATCCCCTTTACATAGATGTCCAAAGGCTTGCAAGCCCAAAGCGCGAATAGTTCGGTCGTCCGCACCAAACTTCCTGTGGCATATACTATCGTGTTGCATGGATCTTGATGAGCCAGACTTGTATATTGAGGAGAAGCTGACTGTACTTCACGATTATGATTAAAATTCCGAGTGGAAGGCAAACTGCTCTGCAAATGGATACCTGCTGGCTGCTGGCTGCCTCAAATGAGCTGTGTCGAAAACCTATTGGAAATGGCTTTGTAATCCTAGCATCCTTTCGCGACAGGCTATCGCGGTCCTTTCGCGACCACAGTCTTACCTTTCGCGGGCATACACTATTTGATACTGTTTGCTCAGTCCTTTCGCAGGACCTTTCGCGAGAGAAGTACGGAACCACACATATAACTTTACTTCGAATGATCCCCACCATGACATTTCAATGTTGTGTGATTGTGTGTTTTGCGTTGAGCTCCGGTAGTGCCCACTGCGATCTGGCACTTGCGGTTGAGGTCCGGTAGCGCCCACTGCGATCAGGCACTTGCAGGAGGGGAAGGAGGAGGAAGAGGAGAAGAACCTCCTTCTGAGAAGAGCTCTGATATAAATCCAACAACCCTCACCTCGCAGGTGGGGAGCAACATGCGTATACCTCTACATATGCATAATAACAAATCTGTATTGCCTCCTTCTAGCAAATTTTCATTTTCACGTGGCAAGTAGAAAATACAAATCGATGGGCTACATCCTGAACATGGAACCGTCACCTTTCTCAAGCCTTTCGCGAACCTTTCGCACGCCTTTCACGGATTTTCGACCTTCGACTTCGAGAAACCCGTGGTCAAAACACGGTTTCTAGGTTTCTGTTTATTGTATTCTATTGTGAGAATTCCTTGCTTGCTATCTGACTCGTCCACCATGGGCACTGGTGCAATACAGAAAAAACCGTTCAGTTTGGGGCTAGAAACGTCCTTGTATATATATCTACGCAAAGCTCTCATGGTGACAATGGCGAAGTTGCATCAAAGCAGCGTAAAGAAAAACAGCTAGCACTGGAAACAAATCCTACATATCATCCAAAACGTCCTTTCGCATACTCCTTTCGCAACCATTTTTTCATGGTGTCTTTCGCAACAGCTTTCTCGAAGCTTTCGCGACTTAGGTTTTGCCTTTCGCGGGGGTTATGTCAGGACAACTGCATTACAAAAACTCTTCATGGAGGTTTTTGACGTGGCTCAAATGGCCAGAGCTGGACAGAATCGTGGCGCCAAAAGCGCTGCCGCTGCTACCCCAGGCTTCACAAATGGTGAGCTAAAAGCACCACCATGCAATCTCAACTCACTTGTGATTTCGATAGGTAGATGTCCTCCCGCCGGCGCTTTTGCATGTACCAAGCCCTACTGGGCGGTGGATAGGCAGTCGGCCAAGCATTCCCAAAGTCAACTCCTGAAAAGGCTGCATGAATGCCACAACAGCCAGAAGATGGACCAAATGCGCATGCGTGCGTTGCGGTCTGGCGTCATGAAGGGAAACATTGTAAGGATGCCCTAGAATCTGGTGAGAATCGCAAATACAACAATACAAGTAGTTCCCGGGCAAGCTGGCGGCGGAAGTTTCATATAAGAAGAAGTTGACCTATAGGAGTGTCCACGTTCTCTACAACATGCGCGTCCTCCAGTCAAACGCACGCGCTCCGTACTTTTGACCCACGGGATTCCACGTGTGTAAGGTGTGTGCCCCCTGCAGGATCAGCAGCTCACAACAGCGTACTGGGTTGTATCTTTGCCACGACAAGATCAGCAGCCCACAACAGCGTGTTGAACCAACTGGGCATGCACAAGTGTATGTACTACAAAGTGGCCAGTTCTCAGCTTCCAGCTCCACAGGTTGTTCCGCGTGCTAAAGTTGTACTAGAAAGTCGCCAGTCAGTTCTCATCTTCCAGCTCCCCAGATGCTCCGCGTACTGCAGTTGTACTACACAGTCGCCAGTTCTCATCGTCCAGCTCGCCAGATACTCCGCGTACTAAAGTTGTACTACAAAGTCGCCAGTTCTCAGCTTCCAGCTCTACAGATTGCTCCGCGTACTAAAGTTGTACTAGAAAGTCGCCAGTTCTCACCATCCAGCTCCACAGATACTCCGCGTAGTAAACTTGTACTACAAAGTCGCCAGTTCTCCTCGTCCAGCTCGCCAGATACTCCGTGTACTAAAGTTGTACTACGAAGTCGCCAGTTCTCAGCTTCTAGCTGCACAGATTGCTCCGCGTACTGAAGTTGTACTACAAAGTCGCCAGTTCTCATCGTCCAGCTCGCCAGATACTCCGTGTACTAAAGTTGTACTACAATGCACACAAATTGCTCCGCGTACTAAAGTTGTACTACAAGAGCCGCCAGTTCTCAGCTTCCAGCTCCCCAGATGCTGTGCCTGCCACGAAATCTGCACATGGAGGTTCACAAAGTGCTGTGCCTGCCACGAAATCTGCACATGGAGGTTCACAAAGTGCTGCACCTGCCACGAAATCTGCACATGGAGGTTCACAAAGTGCTGTGCCTGCCACGAAATCAGCACATGGAGGTTCACAAAGTGCTGTGCCTGCCACGAAATCTGCACATGGAGGTTCACAAGGCACTGCGCCTGCCACGAAATCTGCACATGGAGGTTCACAAAGTGCTGCGCCTGCCACGAAATCTGCACATGGAGGTTCACAAAGTGCTGTGCCTGCCACGAAATCTCCACATTGACGTTCACAAAGTGCTGCGCCTGCCACGAAATCTGCACATGGAGGTTCACAAAGTGCTGTGCCTGCCACGAAATCTGCACCTGGAGGTTCAGTGCCTGACATGAAATCTGCACCTGGAGGTTCACAAAGTGCTGTGCCTGCCACGAAATCTGACTTGGAGGTTCACAAAGCACCTGCCACGACATCTGCACATGGAGGTTCACAAAGTGCTGTGCCGGCCACGAAATCTGCACATGGAGGTTCACAAAGTGCTGCGCCTGCCACGAAATCTGCACTTCAAGAGACAAGTGAAAACCTAATCACAATGGACGGCCGACCGACCATGACCCGAGACCGTCTCGCAACCGTCGTTCCGCAGAGCTAGACTTGCCAGGTTCGAAGCCACCGGTTCTATTGAAAAATACAGCATTTCGGGCGTCCGCTATCTCTCGAAAACGCATTTTGTATTGCACCTGCCACGAAATCTGCACATGGAGGTTCACAAATTGCTGCACCTGCCACGAAATCTGATGAGTGGTGTATGATGAGTGGTGGTTTGATGAGTGGTGGTTTGATGAGTGGTGTATGATGAGTGGTGGTTTGACGAGTGGTGGTTTGATGAGTGGTGTATGATGAGTGGTGTCTGATGAGTGGTGGTTTGATGAGTGGTGTATGATGAGTGGTGTATGATGAGTGGTGGTTGAACAGCTGTTGAATGTCCGTAACACGGAAGTTTTGCACACTAAACTTCCTTTGATCAGAGTAATCAGCCTCTTGCTATCGTAGTGCTGCAGCACTGCAGCTGTTTGTGATAGGCTCGCACCAAATTGCAATGGAGAAACCAGAAAAAGACTCTACCGCATAAGACGTCAAGCCAGAAAGAGATCACAAAGCATGTGTCACACACTTTTTGAATCTTCCACGCTTCGGTTCGTCAAAAATGCATTGAAGACAACTGTGACAGAATCACGAGCACAGCGAGCACAGGAGCATTCTGAGATATTATTGGGGTGTGCACACTGTCATTTTGATCCCACTTCATGCCACTGCCATTCCACCCGTGCCTGCTTGAGGAACTCTGACCCGAACTGCAGGCGCTTCTTGAGCTCCTTGGGACGTGCATCGAAGGCAGGGTCAGGAGGACCACCAGGTCCTGTGTGTGGCTCTGGAAGCCCCATGGCCCCATGTCTGATCGGGCGGCCATCCATCACTCCCACAGTTTTGGGCAACTCTACACTTTAGCTTGGAGGGGAGGCGTCGCTTTACCTCAGTTATATATATATAAATACCTGGACCCTCATCTGCAACATGTTTTATTGGCTAGCGCACTTTTGAGCTTTCGCTTGCTTATATAGAATTAATGACCCGAGCATGACTGAGCACTATTTAGGGTGTTTGACGGGTTCCTGAAGACTTGAATTCCTTGTGATGTGATGTGCCAATGCTGCGTTTCCAACCTTCTTATTCCACTCAACCAAATGCTCAATCTAACTCAAAGTTAATCAAAAGAGGATACTAGGTTGGAGGCCATCGCTAGTAAGTTGGAGGGAATCGCTAGTAGGGCGGAGGCCATGGCTAGTAGGGTGGAGGCCATCGCGCTTCGGGTGGAGGCTATCGCTATTAGGTTGGAGGCCATATTATGTCATTGGTATTCCAAGAAATCGGCTTTGTTGGGTCGCGGCCCAAAGTGGAAACCTGCCACATGAGGGCAACTGGCCGCAAAATGCATGCAACTTTAAACACGGTGCAAACCACCCCCAACCAAGTGATGCTGCTTTCCAATCCTTATATACATATACTTTTAGATACTTTGGATACTACTTTGGATATCTGTGGTTTCCTGTCCAATGTCCAACGCCTAAAGATTGTGAACCTTCCGTTGTCTCCGGTGTGTGTGTGTTGTGTGCAGTGTGCAGGCAAGGGCCAGGACGGGTTGGTTCCATGTGCATTAGGGTTGTACTTAAACATTTTGTAGTGAAGGAATCAATGTTAACCAGGGTTCAACTAAGCACGTGCATGTGCACAGGGGATCGCTTGTGGGAAGGGCCCAAAATCGGTCCGAAGACCCTTCCGGATTCTATTAGGTTCTACGGTATAAATTGCAAAGATGTTTGATATCGGCTAATTTTGCATTCTGTATGGACTTCACTCTGGGAGTTCCGGCGGCATTTTCGATACGCAATCTCTGGCTCTCCTGCGCCAGGGGCTTCCCAGCCGCAGTGGTCCAGACCGGAGAAAAAAGAACTCAAGTCCCCAGGCTTCAGGATCCCAATGACTCAATGGGTGCTTGAACCCTTAGCATCCGTCAGCCCTGGCTCCACAAAATGGCATGCCGGGCTCAAAGCTTCAAACTTCTTATCTCTCGCCGGCTGAGCAGGCATTCCTGGATTATGTTTTCAGTAGAAAGCTTGCCATGAATCCCTTCATTGGGTGGCAAATCATTATGCAACCGCAGGAGCCTCCCATTGCATCACTCACGTTGTTAGATCTCTCACAGGAGCAGAAAGACTGCCTCCATGACTTCCGAGGACTTAAGAGATCCTCCGATCCTCCTCTTTGCCCACCCCCTTTTGCAAGACAAGGAGTGAAATACCAACAGTTGAGATTACATCTTGCCAACATGTGCCAACTTGCATTGCTTAATGGTAAGTTATGATTTCCTTCAGAGAGTTTCCTGGCACAGTTCTCAAAGTCCTTCCGAAGGACATCCCACCTTCTCCAAGGACTTTTGCTGGACTTTTGGGGTGGACCTTAGGCAACGGGCCACGCTTGCAATCCAACGCACCTAAAACCCTTCAAATCATAGACACGGGTACTGGCGATTTGGCATGTAACAAGTGAAAATGATTGGAAATGGATGAAACGGTGCAAGGCAAAGCCAAGTTACATAATCCGCAAGGGCCAAAGAAAATTATGGAAAAGAAACCGGATTCATTGAACTATCCCCGCGACAAAGGTAATGAGAGAGTGGAAAGTGAGAGTGCCACCCTCACTCAGCATAAAAAACAGGATGACACCATATAGGTTTTGACCGTTTCCTGTGCGTTCCCGCTCCACATGAAAACAACGGTCTGAACCCAAGTGAAATTTTCGACGAGCTGCTGGGCCATGGTATCAATCAGAAAGTGCTGTCAAGTTTGTCGCTTTTGATGCCGTACCATTGCCACATCTCACACCAAAGAGCAAAGGCACCAGCAAACCTGCTGTTCCACAGGCATTGCTAAATGGCTTCATCCTTGCTGTCCTCTACAACCAACCACGCGTCCAACCCCGGGTCGCACCGGCTGGGTGTCCCAGGCACTTCTTCTTGAGGCGGAGGGCTGAAGCTCAAGCTGGCCTTCGGGCTACGCACGAGTGTGAAAGGGCGGCAAAACGTGAAGTGCCTGATACAGACCAGGGTCACCTACAGGGAAAACACAATGTAATGTCTTGGTCCTGGGTCATGGGTCATTTTTCGAAGCCTTGCCTTGCCCAAATGGAAACATATGCAAACGCTGCTTTACAAAAAAGCCTCAGTCATGCCCGATGTGCAGAACATCATATGGACGCAACCCCACAAGGTTTGTGCGATTCCAATGGAATGCTGGTGGGAAGTGTCCTATAGCTTTATGTTTGTGTGATTGACAACGTTTGTAAACTAGTGAAATGCTGAGAAACCAACAAAAGCTTCTTAAGAACTGACATTCCATGATCTTGGACACTAACAGCCTACTTACTTATACGAAGGCAGTGTCACTCCCGCTAGGTCAGCAATAAAAGGGTGCTGTATTTGGTCATGGGTGCCCGTGGAGTTCGCAGCCTCACTGCCGGCAGCGCCACCTGAGGCAAACAACACTGCAAAAACACCTGTGGTTTCGTGAAGTGAGGCCGACAGCCAACATCAACACCGGCATCCTATGCATCCACAATATGTGCAGGAGCAGTCAACAGCACTCACTCATATGCGTTCAGGTTCCTCCTTATGTGGCTTTTTTGGTCCTACGTAAGGTCCTACGTATGTATATAGATATAAATATCATCGGAGGATATCGAATGTAAAAAGTGTGTTGACTTTCAAGGCCCCAGTTGTCCACATCCACCGGAAGGTCAGCCTAAGACGTTCTGAGGCTCACCTTCAGCCTACCTCCCTCCAGGCTCCCACACCGGGTGAACTGTGCAGCCAGGCCTGGTGTTTGGCCGCTTGGCCCGCTCCCTCATGTTCCCTCGCTACCTCCTTGTTAGACAAAAATGGGCCTCCTCAGTTTAAACTCACCAGTGCTCTCCTGTCACTAGACGTGACTGGCACAATACAAAACAGCAGAAGCGTACAATATCCAACATTATCCAACCATGTTTGCTCCCTTCTGGTGCTCATAGGCCGCCACTTATCACTTCTGAGACCTTTTCTTTTAGGCAGTGGGGGCCGCGGCATCCTTACTTAATAAACAATTAAGTAGGCGCCTAAGGGACAGCGTTGTTCGCCCCTAGCAACTTCTAGTAACTGGACGCAGGATAGCTCACGCACTAATGATGTGGTTCCTAGATGTTGAGGGAAACTTAGTAGTAAGGCACTTGTTTCTACTAGCTTCTTGTTACTACTAGTAAGGCACTTGTTACTAGTAGCGTGGCACTTGTTCCTAGTAGAGGGAAATTAAGTTCGTAGACTTTTGGATTTTAGATCTTTTGGCCTCTGTGTCTGGCGATGTCCAGAGTTACTCTGGTCTTCCCAGGCGCCTTGTTGGGCGAGACAAGCGGAGGCCTCGGCGGAATTTGTCGAAGTGTGGATAGTGACCCGTGAATTCCTTGCCGACATTTGCCGAAAAAATTCTCGGACTCTATGCATAGCCTGGAAACTGGGAGCATATTGAAGGACCAACACCTGTCTGTCGTCTTGTGGCTGACCCTGGCAAGAAAACAAACAAATATCCGAAGGACAATCCCCTAGCGGCCCTTAGCGTGCTTAACTTTGCCCGAATGCTGTACTTGAGCTATCTTGAGCTACTCTCCAAGGCTGCTGCGAGGCCACTGAGCGGCTGCTCCTTGGCCTTGGTCCAGCTTACCGAGGAGATCTGCCGGTCAAGTTGGTGCTGTCGCAGTGGATGTGATCTGGAGGTGTTTATCTGGGCTCTAGAATCACCTAAATTGGCGTGGAGGATGTGAAGAAGATTGAAAAAGCATGCGATCTCGTGAGTTGACGGGGATTGGAAGTGAGTTGATGACCCGAAACTCTGACAAACCACCAGCTTTCCAAACAAAAACGATCTTGGGCACCCACCCGCAGCACAGGACCATGTCATTGTGCCTGCGGCACATCAAGCACGACACGTCAACTGAAGCACCAGAGCTCGGCTGGAATGAAGCAACAGTACTGGACGTAGATGGACAGGCTTCCCTGTCATGTTCTTCATGAAACTTTCTGAGCACCAACTAGATGAAGTCTTGCCCCCGTCTGCGACCACTGAAATGTTCACGAGATGTGCCTCTGGCTGGTGGCTAAAATGAGCTTGGTCTCCAATGCCCGGTCGACTGCCGATGGCGTCAGCACCTCTCTCACAGAACGAAGGACCGCCGACCCATGCCTCTCACTTACACAGGAGGTCAGGAACCATATCCTACACTACATGGTGCGGTAGGGTGTTGTTTGTGTGGGCTTTTTTCATCCGTGAATTGGATGCCTTCATGACCAGAAGCACCCAGCGCCTGACTCAGGATTAAATCTTGTCGTTTGGCTCGCCTCAGGGCAAAAAGACTCAGCCTCACCTGCTGTAGACTGCGCACATCACAAACCACCTTCACAAACATATTGGCACACACCCACTGACATTGACTTATGCAAGCAAAACCTACCCAGCCACACTTGAGGTTCTCTGTGAACCCTCTTTAAAGACAACTTGTCCATCCACACTTGCGCTATCGTCCATGTCGTCCGTCGGAGCTGCGGCATCCACCACTTCAAGAGTTCCGCGATGAAGTGCTTCATCCTTGAGTGACTGGGGTTCTCAGCCAGAACATTTCATGTCTGGAGTCTGCAGTGTCTGTTGCGGAACAATATGGAAAAATGATGGACACATGGATGTCAGGATGTAGGATCACAAACCGTAGTGCCCAGCAACGGGTGGAGTATATGAATGTGCCAACTGCTTGACCCCGCCTCTGCTTTACCAAAGAAAATGCTGAGACCCGCACTTTCGTAGGTTCACGAACTGACCTACCTGAAAAACAGCAGGCACATGATAGGTTTTGTGTCCTATCGGAGTTCAGATTCAGGATTTGCATGTGGATACATTATATATCATCAGCGAACATCAGCGTAGTTAGAAACTTTGGAGACAGTACAGTACCTTTGTGGAGACCACCACGGAAGTAGCAGCCTGCACCTGACTATTTTATGAGAGTAATGCAGGAACTGATGCTACCAGCTGCTACCATCTCGACTCGCTGGCATTCTGGATTCTCAAACATAGGACCTCGGAATGAACAAGCCTTCTTCCCAAAATGTCTTGCTCCAACTGTGGCTGTTCTACTCCCGCAGATCCAGTGAAGCTGGTCACTGTGACACTCAGGCGGTAGCCTCGTTGAAAAACACAATGCCCCTTTCCTAGGCGGGCGCTGCCAAAGGATGAAGCAACAACCCATGCTGACAAATTCATATAAACTTCAAAAGGCAATGCAGCACAGTCTGTTTCCAGTGAGCTGGCCGCATTCATCTCAGAATCGTAAAGGGGTATAAATCTTGTCAATATGGCGAGTGTCATGCGATCGTTGGATATGAACAAGGGCTGCGAGCTCGCTTAACCCATGGTGGGACAACTATGCCAAGGAAAACACAAAGGATGTTTTCCGTCTTCCATCATTGTTCACTTCCTGCCCTTGGAAACCTGGAGAGAAGCCTTTGCCCGCATAGATGCGATGATTCTGATCAACACGGAACCGCACACAAAAATGCAATGACAATGACAATGACTGATGCTAAACCCACTGCCCAAGGGCCGGTACAACTCCAACCGTACCAAACAACGATCCAACGGCACGCCCTGCTTCGCAAACACAATCAATCGGAAGTCGATTCCAGACAAACTAGTTTCTCGCATGATCTCGCACGTATCATCATGCCTCCGCAGCTGCTAGGCCTCCTCACTTCAAAGCCAGAATCCCAATGGCGGCTCCTGGCCGGTGGGTAGATAGAGCAAAGTCGTTTTTCGGAATGACTCCCAGTTTATTTGACTCTAACTTGTGGTCAGATTGCGGTTTGCCACAGTTGACACGTAACAGAAGTCCCATCTGCCAGCCAGATCTTGGAGGTTGGCTCGTGTGACTTCAGTGAGCCTACTCCCACTCAGCCACTCGAAATGATACAAAACCTGCATGCATCTTCAATTTCATTCGTGCATCCGGGCCCAGCAGTCCATGAACTTATGTATGTATATATGCGGATCCTTTTGACAACCTGAAACGGCGGCCTGTATGTGCACTTCTTGATTTGTGCGTGTCACCTTTGGTGTACACATGTGAGTGCTTCTGTACCATGTTCGCACTCCTCCTTCGAATGGTGAGATTGGCTCACCAGTCGACCCTACTTCATGTACTCGAAGCACTCTTCCATTTTTGGATAGAGCTTTCGTTCCATACCCCAATCTTCCTTTCTGGAGAAATGGAACCAGCTGGCTTCGATTCGGGTCAGCTCATTTCGAGCTTTGAGTTCTGTACGTGCGCCAACCTCACTCATGAACTTGTAGTCCTGCTCCTCGATCTCGATCGGCTCAGGAGTCCACTCCACCCCTTCCGGCTGTGTACCAGCATCACTCATGTTTTCATCATCAGCTTCATCTGCCTCTGATGTCGGGATGGGTTCCGGCTCAGCTGCTTCCTGCTGTGGGGTCAGGTACTTTAGCGGAATCTCCACCCTTCTTCCATTTTCCAGCTCTACTGTTGCCGTGTCACCTGACAGTAGAGGCTGTTCTTCTCCTGCCCTGTCATCAGCATCATCACCTGATGTCATCGGTTCGTCCTCTCCTCTTGTAGCTCCTCTCGGTCGTACAGGTAGTCCATCTGCACCACGCTCTTCTCTTGCTTGCGCCACCAATCCCCATTGTCTCTTCATCCTTAGGCCATCATGCCTTTTGCTGATTTTCTCTATGAATTTCAACTTTCTCCACTCCTCTGGCTTTATTGAGTCGTCCTGCACAAAGCCGTCCATGTAGATGAGGCCTTGGTGAATCCTCTGGGCATAGTCCGCTTGCATGCTCCACGTAAGCTCCAGCTCATTGAAGCTGTTAGAGAAGTCTGCTCTTTGCGCGTCCAACTCATCTTGCAGCCTCCTCAATGCCCATTCAAGGTGTTTGATCCTCTTCCACATCCATGCAAATCCAGCTGCTACGAGGGCCATCACAATGACGATCAACAAGACCCTCCATCCAAGATAAGGGATCTCCTCCTCAACCACTGGCTCCACTCTTGATCCCGCTGCCAGCTCAAGACCGCCTACCATAACCAGTCTGTTGAGGAACTTCGCCATCTTCATGATGCGGCCTTTCTCGAAATGCTGCTCTTGGAAGGTCTCATACTGCTCCTCTCCTATCCGCTGTCCATTCCCTGTCCTGGCATTGCACCAATAAAGCAATAGGTCTAGCCTTGATCGCGACAGGGGTTTTGTGCCGATGTCAGCCACGTTCAACACTGTGTTGACTTGTCGTACGGACATGCTGCCGTCTGCAACTTTGTCCTGGCACCATAGGAGTTTTCCAGATAGGCGACGCAGTTTGCCACTTCCTTTCTTGCATGCAATTTGTCGAGTGGCCGAATTGTCAACCCAGCACACATGTTCCACTTCTTCCTGGGTGAGAAACTCAAGCCTGTGCTTCAGGCAGATTCCATCGCAGGCTGCGGCCACTAGTGCATTCAGCTCACTTTCTGCAGAACTAAGGCTGATTGTCTTTTGTCCTCGAGAGCTGCTGTGCACTATCAACCCATTGACTGCATGTACTGCCGACGAGGTAGATCTCCTTGTTGACTTGCATCCTGACCCATCTGCGTCACTGAAGGTCTCCAGCAACCACCCTCTCTCTCCTCTGGTGTTGATGCCTTCACCTCTGACTGGGTTTGGGAGCAGAATATGTTGATGTTCTGTCTCCTTGAGATAGCCCACCCGCTTGCGCATCCTTTGTACTGCCACCTCCGTGGGACTTGACATTTTGCTTGCAAGCTCCTTGATGGTGTATGCTATATCCAGTCGCTCTTGGGCCAAATAGATACCCATTCCAGTGATGGATCGGAATGCTGTGTGGCCTCTTGGTATCCCACCAGGTTGGAGCTGTCTGCATCTTGGATGTCTGCTGAAGCTGGGATCCTCTGCTTCTTCACCTGCCCGAAGGTTTCCTCAAACAGCGCAATCATCTTACTGGCATATTGTCCCGGCTTCACCAGCAAGCCTTCTGGGGTTAGCTTGTAGGTGCGCTTGAGGAATGAGAATTCTTGATCATCTTCTTCCACTCTCGACACCTCAACCTCAAACTTTGCTTTGAGCTTGTCCACGAACTTCTCCACCGCCTTGGCTCGCCCTGTGAACATGATGTCATCAACATGTATCAACACATGGACTCTTTCTCCTTCTTCGCCACATCTCCCAAGGCAGGGGTTGATCACATCAAAGGTGAATCCGTGGTCCTTCATGAGGTGTTGTTGCACATGCTCAAACCAAGCTTTTGCACCAACTCGCTGACCTGGCAAGTTCCGTAGCACTTTGTACTTGCCAATGCTCGTGGATATCTGCAGTGGGCGCTCCTGGGGTACCTGCAAAAAGGCATCTTTCACATCCAATGCCCCCAGTACTGCTCTTCCATTGCTATTGTCCAACTCTTGATCCATTGCCCTCATGGTGAGGAAAATCAATGGAAGTAGGCGCAAAGAATAGCTCCCACTTGCTGGACTGTACACATCATCCCTCTTGTCATTTGCAAACTCTCTTGCCACCAAGCGGGATCTCCTCAGCCACTTCTTCTCCTTGGATCCATCCTCATTAACCTTGGTCTTGATGCGCCAGTCCCTGACAAACTTGGTTGTAAGCTTGTAAAGCATCTGGGATTGCTCCTGGCTTCAAATCTTCCTCCTCTTCTTGGTCATCATCCACGGCCAGGGTCTCCACATCTACCACCTCATCCAAGTGGTACATTGTGTCTCCCTCAATGCTGACTGCCTCCACTCTTCGCTCAACCATCTCCCTTCTCGAAGTGTTCGAGGACGATGTAGCACCTTCTTCCTCGATCCTCTGTTTCTTGGAGCTCTCAACTCGAGGCTTCTTTGCTTCAGGTTCAATCTTGACCGCCGATGGCGGAGGCGGTGTTTTCCTCAAAGTTCTATCCTCTTGAGGGCCCTTGTCCTCCTCCCACGGCAATGGGGGAACCTCCATTGGGACAAATCCTGTCGAGCCTTCTCCTCCAGGGTGCGCACTTGCAAGAACTGGAGTCGCTGGCAGTTCTGAACTCTGCCCATCCACTTGTGGGGCTCTTGGGGCTGGCACTCCGCCTTCAGCAGCCAAGGTACCGGAAACTGCCTCCTCTGTTGCTCCAAGCATTATCTGGACCTCCTGCATCTCGCGCTCTGCTTCTTCCTGACCCTCCTTAGACATTGCATAATCCTCCACTGCTTTGGCCTCTTCGTCAAACTCCCTGTAGAGCGTAGGGTCCGCTGGCAAACTCCTCCTCCTCATATTCAGAGGAATGGGGCCGACTGCCCGCTTTGATGGCACAATACGTCCACCAAAATTCACCTGGAATTCCCAACTGTGCGCAGTGAAGTCCCTGAAGTAGGTCATGAACTTGGACCAGGGCCTGTCGATGCGCCTCACTGACCTTGTCAATAGCACATTTTGCCCTTCTCCCACGACTTGGCCTTCGGTTTTGCCCAGAAAGATAGCCATCCTCCACTTCGAGTTGCCTTTGCCGGTGAGAGGCTTCAAATATGCATAGACTGGGCAACCAAATGGAACCAGGGGAGATTCGTATGCCTTTCCATGAGTCAACTCAAAGCTTGTGACTCCACGGATGGCCTGATACCTGTTCAACGTCCATGCCGCATGTCGTACAGCCCAGCTCCATAAAGCATGATTGCTTTTTGAACTTCAGTCCAACCTTCTTCATCAATGACTCCATCAAAGTTCCGGCAAGTCCCCTGATCCTTTGAATGGCGTTTTCTGCCAGTGAATTGCCTGCTGAATCCTTCACCCGGGTCGTGTAGATCCTCGTGCGAAGCCCAAGTGCATGACGGGAGTTCAAAAGGATACGTAGCAGGGCCCGCATTGTCGGCTCATTGTCAGCATACAACCCAACTTCGGTGTGACCCAGATTCTGGATGAAGGTCATGATCTCCCGGCACATGAGGCTCAATTGGCCTTTGGACTGTAAGGGAATTGCTCCCAATGCTCCTGTCTGGCTGCAGGAAAGTACTAGCCATAGAGCCGTCTTAACTTCTTTGAACCCCACTTCTGCTCCTCCAGGTAGGTCATGGCCTTGTGGTGCTCCTTCTTCTTGCTGCAGATCTACTACCTCTCTTCCATCCTCTTCAACAGCCACTGGAGCTGGCCGATCCATTTCTCCTGCTTTCGTGTAGCAGAAGTCCATACTGACAATTGGAATGCCAGAAAGGCGTGCTGCTCCTGTGCGCAAATGCCTGTCCGGCCGGCCTCGATGCATCAGGCATGTCTCACACCAGGGCTGGTATGGGGTGTGTGTCAACTCATGCAAAAATTGTTCTTTGATGGCACTTTCACAAAGGGCTGTGGTCTTGGTCGCCTTGCAACCTCCATCTCAGCTGCTGCCACCGCTGCTGACGCTGCCTCCAGCTCCAACTCCTTGATGTAGCTGACCAATCTCTGGTAGCATTTCAGCTTGCTGCCAGAAGTGCTGATGCCATAGAAGCCGCAAGCCGCTCGGAGCTCCCTCAGTTTCGATTCCGGGGTCAACTCAATCCCATTGACCATTAGGCTTCCAGGCATTGCTCCTCCTGCCACCAACCTCCCTTCTTGTTCTGCACCATCTTCCCTCACAGGTTCATCATGCAGTTCCTCCTGTTTGCCAACTTCTACTGGCAACTCTATCTCTCTCCTCTCCATGTAGCGCCTCACAAAGCTCCACCATCTGCCAACGACCTTGCTGCTTTACCAGGGTCGTCCTGAACCAATTCACCTTCGAATCGATCTCCCCATGGTACTGGGGCGTTTGGAGTTTCCTTCCCAAATGGATACCGATCCATCTGTCTCCAGACCTTGCCCATCCACTCTGAGCTCTGGCCTTGTCCTCCAGCTCCTTCGTCAACTTCGCCTCCAGCACTCGGACAACGTACGGTACTGTTTGAATGGCCCGCGCAAATCCTTCAGCTATGAGGCTCCTGTTCTGCAGCTTCAAGGGGATCCTGATCTGGCGATGGCCTCCTCCATAGGTCAAGACTCGGTCTTCACCATCAATTCCCCAACCTGCCTGCATCATCTTTCCAAAGGAAATAATCGGCTGATTGATGCCCTCGGCAAAGTGAGCCTTCTCATGGATTTCAACCTCTTTGCCCTGCTCTGTTCTGAAGCAGAAGCATACATTCTTGTATCCTCTGACGCGGATGTGCTCTCCTTGGGCGTCTTGCAAGCGAGGGGCTGATTCCGAAAGCTCAGCTCCAATCCCAAGGAACGAGGCAGGAAGAACGGTGGCATCAGCGCCAGAATCCACAATGACCTGACATAGATCTCGGCCACCTCCAAAATAATCGTCTCCTTCCTCCTGGACCACACAAATGCCCACTGGAAGCTCCTGCTCGTCTCCCCTCATCTCATCCACGTCCATGTCATAGAACTTGACCATCCTGATGTGCTCCTCTTCCTCGCTGATTGACCTCAGGTCGAACACCATCAACTGGTTGAATTCTCGTGAGTTGCGGGAGGAAGAGGGCCAAGATTACAAAGACTTCTCTAAACGGTATGGGTGCCAGCAGGTCCTTGGCCATGTCAGTTAGCCATTGTGCACATTCACTCTGATTGTCCTTGCCTACTCTGAAGTTTCGTAGCAGGAGCGACTGCGCGTGAAACCTCCTGTGGATTAATCCTCTTGATGGATGGGGTCTTCATCGTCGTAGTCGGTGAGGTGTGGGTGGTACTTGACGTCTCACTCTGGGATGCGCTCGAACTCGCTTCGACCTGCCTCACCACCCGCCAGCAATCCTTTGCCATATGGCCGGGCTTCCCACATGTAAAACAGGTCTTCATTGGGCTCTCCTTTGTTTTCCCCTTTCCATCTGCCTTCTGACCCTTCTGGCCTGTCTTTCCTCCTTTTTGGCCTTTTCCTGGTGGTTTGCCCTTACCTTTGGTGCCCTTTTGATCACCTTTTCCCTTTCCTTTGCCCGGTCCTCCATCTTTCCCTTTCGACTTGCCTTTGCCCTTGCCCTTCTCGGTGATGCGGTCGATCTCCATGGGCGCTGGTCCTCCCGTGTCCTGGTTGAGGATCATTGCATTGGACCATTTCGTAGTGGCATGGTCATACTGGATGATCGCCTCCCTCAACCGGCTATAGCTTTGGGTTTCTGCCACCTGCAACTGGAGCCATGTCTTCAACTGGCCTCCAACACATCTCATCAGGGTGGCAAACTTGATGGTCTCATCGAGGCGAGCTCCTGTCTTCTCGTACTCTGCATAGGCCTCTTCCAGCTTGAGCAGCTGGTTCAAAATGCTCCCTTTTCTCATGTCGAACTGCGTCGAACTGTCCCCACTCCAATATCATCGTCAAAAGTCCAAGGGACCGATTCTTGCTTGTGGGCTCCAAGCTCTGGATGAGGACTCTGTAGGCCTCCAGACCGTTCGACTCTTTCACCTGCTTGATCAGGGAGAGAGGCCTATGACGTAGGAGAGATGCCAGCAAGGCATACAGGAAGCTGCTTCGTTGACGCTCTTCATCACTTTGGAGGGCCACTTCAATCTCCCTTCCTGGATTGGACCTGAGCTCCTTGATGTCCTCGATGAAGTTGGAGTCCATGGAAGAAAGATATTGCTCCAGGCTCCATGAGAAGTCTCTCCACTGGGCGGTCTCTTCCTCCCGTGAGCGTGGATCGAAGTTGGGAGGTTTTGGTAGGATTCGAAGCCAGTTTCGATCCTCTGGTTTCCTGGTTACCGCTTCCACCGCCTGGACCATTCGTCGGGCTATCTCGGCCCCATCAACTGCGCCCCCAGCCACACTCCCTGTAGGAGAACCTGGTATTGGAGATCCTTCCAAACCAGCCATATCTCCCTCCTTGGGCTCAAAAACGATGGGCTCCTGGTGGATGTAGAGATCACAGGCAAAGGGAAAAACTTGTAATCGAGGATGAACTCTTGCAGTGATTGCGAGCTCTGCTGGGTCTCCGCCCAACACTAGCCAGGCACCTATGGCAGCCGCACGTTCGCGCGGCCGGGCCACCGACCAGGGGATTCGGGTCCTGTCCCCAAGGATCCTGGAGCCTCAGGCAAGAGCTATGCAATTGCCATCCCTGGCTCCGCTACCATGCGGATCCTTTTGACAACCTGAAACGGCGGCCTGTATGTGCACTTCTTGATTTGTGCGTGTCACCTTTGGTGTACACATGTGAGTGCTTCTGCACCATGTTCGCAATATATAACTATATATATATATACATAAACTGAGGCTTCGACAGGAGCGGCTTCAATTGGCCTAAAAGTACGCCACAGACCTCTGGCTGAGCCAGTGGCGGGCCAAGCGCTTTGCTTGAATCATTTGGTACGCAAGTGCGGTACAATTTGACTTGATGCTTGATGACATACAAAGGATGCATACTGCACATTGAAATGACACATGCCACATCAATCCATGAAATGGTCCTGCCTTTCTTCAGGTCTTTAACGCTTGCCGTCATGTCATGGTTAGTTGGGCTGCTAATCCTCTCTAGCAGAGTCTGGCTGCCACTCATCTTGTTGCATCATCAGTGTCTTGGTGGAATCCAGCCCACAAAGCGGGGTCTTCAAAGGCGAAGACTTCAGAGTCAATAGCTTCCTCCGTCTCGCGAACCTGGCTGGAAGCACCAACGGGGTCCTCCTCAACTGCACATGCGCGCATAAGCACCTATATAGATATACATACCACTGTACACATATATTTATATATATGTACATATATATATATATATACATACCTGTACGAATGCTGGGCGCAAACTGCTGAAGCATAGAATGTGGGAATGGCAAAGCATCTGAACCAGTGAAAGTGACACAAAGGTTTTGTGGGCAACCGATGTGCTCTTCTCAAGTGATAAGCTGCACTCACCTGAGTATACGATCCGATTCATCCGTTTCTCACCTCTGTCAGCAGCAGCAACGTACCGGACCGTATACCATTTGTTATGCTGGAACATTTGAGAAATGATATATAAAACCTCATTAAGTAAGGCTCTTTGCTCTTAGGTGAGGTGTCCTCGTTGCAGTCGTTCATCCAGCGCCTACTTAAAACTCCGGGCCAAGCTCCAGATCGCCTCAAAGTCCCATCTATTCGCCAAACAATGGGCCCAATCTGATGGTCAAAGCCACCAGGCACCGGGGGAGAAAGGCTTGTCAGAACTCCAGGCGCTGCGTCCACTGAGTCGGCCTCCAAGGTTTTGGGATCCCATCGGCTCCCATGGTCTTGGACCTCAGGTGTTCCATCTGCATGTCAGGTTCGGCGCTGGGTGCGATGAGCGGAGCAAAGTCGGAGGATCTCGTTGCAGATCATGGCGGATGTCGGGAGTTGGGGCAGACTTGCTGTGAGGTTCTGTCATGGTAGCAGAATGGGATCTAGCTGTCTAAACGATATGGCTGTGAAGCTTGCACACACAGGGCAATATCTCAATCATGGAGGCTCACACAAGAAAGGCTTGTAGCAAAACGCTTTTGGTAGGGTCTTCTGGGTGATATCCACGTGTCTATATAAATGTGAAGAGTCTGAAAGGTGTGGCTGCTCATGCGTTTGATGTTGCAGGTACGTGATGTCCCACCCTCACTATCAATATCGTGGTAGAGATGGTCCAGGCTTCACTCCGCCAGGATTGATTCTTTCCCCGGTTTGTTGCCTCCGGACTGCCAGGACTCCCTCGACTTTGCAGTTGAAAGGCAGATTCAAAAGGGACTTGACTTGGATTGGGCCTGACTTTGAAGGATGCATCAACCTCAGAAGACTAAACGCTCTTTGACAGCATATGCGGCGTATTTCAGAAGCGGCACCCACCTTCATGCCCAGCGAGGATGGACATTGCGTCTCACTCCCGTATGGCCCTATGGCCCTATAGACCATAGACCCCACATAGGAATGAAAGCGGCCCCATGTTGCCCCAAACAACCGGCGCAAAACCTTGAACAAAGAACGGACAAAGCACAAAATCACGTCTTTAATGTGCGACTCCCCAACCCGAGCTTCCAGGCAATCTCACTCAATCGTTGCACCAGCAAGGGCCTGGGTAGACTTCGCTTCAGAAACATTGGAATCTGGGGCACTTTTACGCTTGAAGCTCGTGACTTACTCCTTCGTCCAGATGATCTTCAACAAGTCCTAAGGCTGGGATGCATTGTTCCACCAGCAGTAACCCCACCATTCCTGTCCGGGTGGTAATTATCTTACGTAAAATGAGTTCTGCACACTATAATATCGATAAGGACGCTGCCCATGGTCCTGAAAGAAAAACAAGACAAAACGTATACACAAAATAGACATTGATAGTGTACAGCTCACCAAGATGTTGATTGCCTTCTTGGTGTCGTGACCTGCCTAGTAAATGAGGAATGGTCTGATGTTTGCTTTGACATGTTTGGGATTGTTTCGGTCAAAATTTTGCGACAAGGCTTCTGTGGTCTGTGGCCCTTCAAGTCATCAGAACCCGAGATGCCATGAGATGTCACAGGGCGCTCCCGCCCTCTGTTCGCACTCAGCCTTCGACCAACAGCCCAGTTGGCCTGGTTGGGCCACCGACCTGGCTTCACTGGGATTGTGCCACATCATGCCACCATTTCTGGGTCACGCTGCCTGTTAATGCAACGCCTGTGCGATCCAAAACCATGCATTCGGAGACCTCAGATCTTTCCGTATCCAGTCCCCCATCAAGAAAAGACCACAGGGGTGCCCAAATTTGCCAATTGGGTAGATGATCAAATGGAGCCTTCGCGCCGGCATGCATTACTGTAGACTGTGTATATATATATATAGATAGAGAAAAAGAGAGAGAGAGAGAGAGAGAGAGAGTATTCAATTTGCCAGGGTTGCAAAGCAGCAGCATCCGTCAGCCGCAAGAGCGCGTCGCCTGGATCTGGGCTTCCAAGCTGTTTTGGAAGTCCAGGCTGCAGATGGTCCAAGTGTGTCCAGCGTTTCAAGGTGCTGATAACAAACAAAAAACAGCTATACCATCCTGGTGGGTCTTGAAAGTGTGGGTCGAGATATAGGGGACTGCAAAGGCGTTGAACATCTAATTGACGCAGATCTGGCGAAAGAGGAGGTGCAATTCGACACACTGCAAACATTCAACATGAATAGCAGCCCAAAAACACTATTGGTGAACCCAATGCCCAAACACGACATCTTCATGATCTAGTTGATGCATTCTTATGGGACGGACCTTGGATCTTGTTGTCCTTTCACCGCCCTAAGCACGCAAGTTCATATATGAAGGCTAAAGCACCTGCTGCAACACCAAGGGGGTTCTTCAGGTTTCAGAAAGCTAGGCAAGCCCAGGTGCCAAGAACTTGGACCCCCACTTCCCATCAAACAAGCCCACAAGAATCAACGGCGAATTGTTAATCGATGCATCAGGGAATGGACGACATCAGATTCTTTTCAACCAGAAAATCGAGCAAACATGCAAAGCTTAATGTCGCATCGGCCAGCCAGCGCTGTACATCGCTGTACCATCCTGCCAAATCCAACGTCTTCCGAAGACTCTTTCATACTCCGTTTGGAAACCCATCCGAACCATCGTTTCCTGCGCTTTGAATTTGAAGTGAGGATGGCCGGTGTTTTCGGCTGGGAGCTTCCAAACATGCCTACATTGTGCCCACATCCAGTGACTAGAAATGCGGAACAGCAATGACACTGATCGTGTGCATGTTGGCATGTTGGCTGGGTTTGTCAGCGTGCCCTCGTTTACACATCATGCTTGAAGAACGAGGTGAATAGAACGTTCGATATATAAGTATTCGTTTTCGAGTTGACTTCACAAAGGTTGGCAGGTCTTGCCAAAATGATCGAAGCCAAAAAAAAATATGTAGGTGGCATACCGTGCACTGCCTCCATGACCAAAACCCAGATATATAATTAACTCGTCAAATTCATCAAAAGTCACGTGACAAGTTTCGCTCTCAATGTGCGGACGGCACAAGGCAAATGCAACGTCTTGATAGTATATGATGCATATGATGATTTCGGCAGGATGCCGATTTTCTGCAATGGGCCTGGGTGCCTGTACCTCTGGCCTTCTTAGATTAAAAACCTAAAAAGGGCAAACGGCGCTTGTGACGGCTGCAAAGTTCGGGGGTTCCAAGCAATAAACTTGCAAGAACGTCGCAGAATAATTAAGGTACGTATTTTACACTGGACCCCGTGCAGCGGGAGGGTAGAAAAATCTAAAAAGTATATATCACGTCACTCACTAGGCTCACTTCACCAGGCAGCTGATGCCCAGAAGAAAGAACAAGCCCATGCCAGCGCGGGCGACCTCAAACTCTTAGATTAGACATCTCACTTGAATGCAAACAAGAACAACTGATAATTGACTCAGAGCCTGTTGGGTTGTTGGGCGGGTGCTTCCCCCCCAGTGTGCTATCGCATGTATTGGATCGCTCGAGCACAGCAAAGAGCCGACGTACTGAGGCAACATCATGAATAGTTGATTAGCGGAAAGGAGTGGACATCGGAACTCCCAAACAGCTGGGGCCTTCTTCACGACCTCGGGACTGCCGGTCTTGGTGATGCCGAAACAGGCCCAGCTCACAGCGCAGGAGTAGCCGAGGCCGAAGCCCCAAGCTGACCCTTGGCCTAGCCGTAGCTATCGATGAAACGATCATGGTGAACCACAAAAAAAGAGAGACGACAAAAACTTTTTTTTTTTCGCACGGGCATCGGCTGTGCTAGGTCCTGCCAGGCTTTGCTGGCCTATGGCCGCAAAGGGAGCCGGCTTGGCGCGGAGGCCCCGGCAAGCGCAAGGATCTCCCCGAGAGGGAGATCTGCGGAGCTGGTGGGGCACTGGGGCGCGCGCCAGTCGTCCCCAAGCAGCGTGGGGCACAAGGCGCGCTGGACGGCGACGCCAAGGAGGCCCCACCAGCGGCGGCGCCACCCGGCAGCGGCGGCGGTGCGGACCGCGGGAGGCGCGCGCCGGGCGCGAAGGCGGACGAGGCGGCGCACGAAGGTCAAGGACTCCGTGTTCCAGCGGCCGCCGACCTCGCAGGCGAGGACCAGGAGCTGCTGCGGACCGTCGGCAGCAAGCTCTGGATAACGGCGACGCTTGCGCCGCTCGGCCAGGCGGAGCGCGACACCATCCGCCTCAGCGGCCCCAGGGACGGGGGCACCGCCGCGCGTCAAGGCGGAGACGAGGGTGGCATCGCAGCACCACGTTTCCCCATGTGGCGAGGCGCCATGCACGACCAGGTCGAGTCGGCGGCGGTCATCGGGGGAAATGTGCGGGGTGTTGGTGCGCGCGAGCCACTGCTGCGGAACGACGCGGCCCTCGGCGCCCACAGCCTCGCGGGCGACGCGCACCCACGCGTGCTCCAAGACATGTGCGCGGCGGGCGAGAGCGCCGCTGCGGGGGCAAGCTGCGCAGTGGTCGCCCAAGCGGTCCAGCGGCTCCCCACAGCCGGGAGCGCCGTCACCTCCACAGCGGGCACGCGCCAACGGCAGAGGCAAGCGGAGTCGGCGCCGGAGGGCGCGGTGCATGTAGTGAGGCGGCAGTGTGGTCCCAGGCTCCGAGGGGATGGCGGTGAGCCAGGCGGCGGCCTGGGGGCCGGCTTGTGACCGGAGCATGGCGCGGGACGCCGGGTTGAGGGCTGGGAGCAGCTCGCTCTCTCTGAAGGACTGGTGAAGTACGAGAGAAGCTTGCCGCTGCCAACCGCCAGGCCCAAGCCCCGGACCAGACTGGTCAGTGGAGGCCGCATCAGGTTGGAGAGCATGGAAAAGGGCATGCCACGTGGGGCAGGCGGTCCACCCATGGCGGTGGAGGTGCGTGGCCGCGGCGGCGGCAGCCCGCAAGCAAGGGGCAGCGGCCTCGTCGCCGACCGCGAGTTCACGGACGCATCGGGCAGCGGCATCGGGGTACCGTTGGCGCAGAACAGGGAGGGCGTCTGCCCAAGCGGCCCAATATGCGGCGGGGGCCGTGCGCTCGGCGGCGACGAGGCCGAGCCCGCCGAGCTGCGTTGGAAGGAAGGCGACGTGGCGGGCGACCTGCCAGGCGGGGGTGTTGGCGCCGGCTTCGCCAAGGAGACTTTGCAGGGTGCCCCAAGTGGCGGCATCGTGGGCGGCAGCGAAGGTCGCGGACGCAGCGGGGGGCAGGGTGCGCAGGAGATGGTGCGCACGGGGAGCGGCGCAGAAGGAAAGTAGGAGCCAGGCGCTCTGAAGGTCCGGCAGTGCGGCGATCTCCTGCAGGAGGTGGGCATGAGACAGGTGAGTGTCCCGGGCCGTCTCTGCCACGAACTCGGGCGATCCGATGGGCGAACCTAGGGCGATGAACCCCCGCTGGGCCGGCGGCAGGTCGCCGCGCCAAACGTCGGGCCCAAGCTCCGCGATCCCTGGCGGCGCGCACCCGCCGGCGCCGCTGTAGACCCGCGTCTTTCCGAGGTTGGAGGCGACCCCGGCCAGACGTTCGACATTGTTGGTCACCAGGTCAAAGGCTGCACGGGCGCGAGCCGGCTGCGTGACAATGTACAAGTCATCAAGATAGGCTGCAAGGACGTCGCCTGGGGCCAAGTGGGCCGCGGAAGCCTCCAGCGCGGCGTGTTGCCCTAGGGAGAACAGGGCCGGCGCAAGCGCGTCTCCTTGTTCACATCCTTCAGCTTGGCGGATGTGGTGGCACGCGCCAGAATCGTCCCACCAGAGGTACGTGCTCGTGTGTGCATAGAAGGAGCGCACGAACGGGACGAGGCGAGGAGCGACCTGCAGGAGTTTGTCCAGGAAGGCGGAACGGGAGACGCAGTCATACGCGCTGCGGCCATCGAGAGAAATGATGACGGCCGAGGGGTCGAGCTCAGAGGCAACTCGCAATGTGGAGGCGAGGCAGTCGGTGCCGGCTCGGGTTTGGAGCGCGAATTGGAAGGGCCGGGTAGCGGCGTCGAAAACCGCGGCATGGAGGCGTGCGAGAGTGCGCGAGACAAGGCGGCGCAGCACATCCCCCGTGGCGATGCCGCGGACCCCGCCGTTTGGTTTCGCGAGCGCGGTGAGGCGAGCCAAAGCGAGGGCAGACAGGATTTCGGGCGGGGCCGCGCCGTTGGCCAATGCAGTGGCGGCCCGGGCAAAGAGCTCGAGTGCGTCCTCATCATCAAGAAGGACTTTGTAGTGTTCGGCGGTGGCGCCAGACAGGCCTGCGGCCGAGCCACGTTTGCTGGTGCGAAGGGCGTCAGCGAGGTCATGCGCAGAGAGAGGGAGTGGAACTTGTGGCTGGTAGTCAAGGACGGCCTGGGAAACGGGCGAGCGCGGGGCTGGCGGACGGCGCTCCGGGTCGGACAGCGCAGCTAAGGTGGCAGCGGTGCCTGGCGCCTGCGGGGAAGAAGTCAGGAGTTGGCGCGCGCGGGAGAGTTCACCGCGGCGGACTTGGGCGACAGCGCGGGCGCGCAACGCGTCGGGCGACGGCGGAGCGGCGCGGGCAGGCGCGGGACCCCGGGCATCGTCGAGGAGGCGTTCCCAACGGCCTGCCTCAAAAGCGGCGAGGCGCTGTAACAGGAGTTCCCGGCCGGCAGGGCCAGAGGCGGCCGTAGGCCGAAGGAGGAGCCGGGGGGTCAACAGGAAGAGTTTCCAAGCGCGGCATTGTTGCTGCGGGGTGGCGCGAGGCGCGGCCAACGCCCGCAGGCTGATGAGAAAGGCGTGTCTCAGCCCAGGGGCCAGGAATCGGGGCACAGACTGCATGGTGCGGACGGGGCGCTCGAACTCGGCGGCGAGGTCGACGTCATCGAGGAAGCGCCAGGAGCCCGGGCGTAGGGTAGCAGGGGGGCTGGAGGCCTCGGGCGGGCAAGGGACCTCGTCGGCGGACGCCGAAGCCTCGGTGTCGGAGATGGTTTCGGCAGGGGGCACCGGCGGGGGGGCGGCGGGCGCAGCAGGCAGAGC